GATCTACCAGCATGGACCCCAATAACTCGCCTCAGGTTTGATTTTATTAATAAGAACTTTTAAGATTCATGCTACATGCTTCTCTGATCTTCCAGCGTTCACCCCAATACCTGGCTCCAGGTTTGATTTTATTAGTAAGATCTTCTAACAATTTGTGATACACATCTGCACAATATTTTTAAAATTGGATTAGTCCTATGGACAATGTCCTTTATCTTACAGAGGTTTTAGAGTTTTATGACATCCCATGTATTAATTGTCAGTCTTAGTGTCTGTGCTACTGGTATTCTATTTATGAGGTTGTTTTCAGTGTCAATGTGTTCAAGGCTATTCCCCACTTTCTCGTCTACCAGTTTCAGTGTAACTGGATTTATGTCGAGGTTTTTGATCTACTTGGACTTTGAGTTTTGAGTATGGTGATAGATATAGATCTATTTGCATTCTTCTATATGTAGATATCCAGTTATGCCAGGACTATTTGTTGAAGAAGCTTTATTTGTTCCATTGTATCTGGCTTCTTTGTCAAGATTCAGGAGTCCATAGGTGTGTGGATTTAAGTTTGGATCTTCAGTTCAATTCCATTGATCCACTTGTCTGTCGCTATGTCAATACCATGTTGTTTTTTTATTATGATAGCTCTGTACTATGGCTTAAAATTGGGGATGGTGATACCTTTGGAAGTTTTTTGCTGTACAGTATTGTTTTAGCTATCCTGGTTGTTTTCTTTTCCATATGAAGTTGAGTATTGTTCTTCAAGGTCTGTAAAAATTGTGTTGGCATTTTGATGGGGATTGCATTGAATCTGTAGATTGCTTTTGATAAGATGGTCGTTTTTACCATGTTTATCCTACTGATTCATAAGCATGGAAAATCTGTCCATCTTCTGATATCTTCTCCAATTTCTTTCTTCAAAGACTTGAAGTTCTTAACATGCAAGTAGTTCACTTGCCTGGTTAAAGTTACTTCAATATATTTAATATTGTTTGGGGCTATTGTGAAGGGTGTTTTTTTCCTGATTTCTTTCTCAGCCTTTTTATTGTTTGTATATGCGTTTTTACTGACTTTTTTTCAGTTAATCTTTTATCCAGTCACTTCACTAAAGGTGGTTATCAACCATAGTAGTTCCCTGGTGTAATTTCGAGCTCTCTTATGTATATTATCATGCTATCTGCAAATAGTGATACTTTAACTTGTTTTCCAACTTGCATCCCCTTAAGCTCCTTTTGTTGTCTTATTGCTCTAGGTAGAACTTTGAATACTATATTGAATAGATGTGGAGAGAGTGGATAGCCTTGCCTTGTTCCTGATTTTAGTGGAATTGCTTTGAATTTCTCTCAATTTAATTTGATGTTGGCTCTTGGCTTGCTGTATACTGCTTTTATTATACTTAGACATGATCCTTGTTTCCCTGATCTTGCCAAGGCTTTTATCATGAAGGCGTGTTAGGTTTTGTCAAAGGCTTTTTCAGCATCTAACGAGATGACTGTATGTTTTTTCCCTTTCAGATTTTCATATGCTGGACCATCTCTGTTTCTTTTCATCTTTCTTTCTTTCTTTCTTTCTTTCTTTCTTTCTTTCTTTCTTTCTTTCTTTCTTTCTTTCTTTCTCTCTCTCTCTCTCTCTCTCTCTCTCTCTC